TCTCTTATACAGTACAGAAAAAAAAACTCCCACCACACCCCCACAACAAAAAAGAAAAAAAAAAAAAAAAAAAAAAAAAAAAAATACTTTTCTCTTTTCTTTTGTTTTTCTGGGGGGGGGTGTTAACCCCCACAAGGTTTTTGTTTTTTTTTTTTTTTTTTGGGGGGGGGGGGGGGGGGTAAGCAAGTTGCATTATGGTCGCAGTGAAAACGGTAACTGCCGGGAAATCAAGAGTCATGGTGCTGCTTAACTTGGCCAATTGGAGTCTAGGAGGATTTAAATGAGTGTTTTTTTCCTTTGATACGCTTCGCCGCTCGAGCTTTGGCCGAAGATTTGTCGGTCTATGGCCGACTGTGAAGAATTTCGCCCGCGGCTCAAGAAAAAAAACCCTATGGTACCCAGGGTATAGAGTTATTCATTGTTATGTAAAAGCAGTACAAAATGCAAGATGTAATAAAATTACTAAAGAAGAGAATGTCAGTTTGAAATCTTCTCGTTTTTTGACATGCGTATGAATATGAATACTCTAATTTGTAAGGCAATTGGAAATAGCGAACCTCTCTTTAACCACCATCATGTACGCATTGCGCACCTACGTTTTTAATAGGCCCGTTGCAAGTTTTGGGGGACTTAAATTGACTTTTTCTCTTTCCTGCAGAACCAGTTATTCAGTTCACGAAAGAGAGAGTATTTGTAGCGGGTCCTGTAGTAAGGAATGCGCATGTCGAGGCACGGATAACCGTAAAAAAGACAGGTGACCCTTTCACAAGGTCAAAGGTCAGGGTTTATACACTTGATGGATCTGCGAAGGCTGGTAAAGGGTATCAAGCAATGACACAGGTAAGGACAAAAATACTTTCCGTACGCAGGAGCCGATAACCTGAAGCGAGCAACTTCCAGGTACTCTTGTCACGGCGTTTTCAAGGCCAGTTTATTTTTGGAACGGTTTTGGCGCGCATTTAGAATATCTTTAAAGTCCCACAAACCAGTCGGCAACACCTAAAAATGATAATTTTTGCCTTTAATGACATTACAGTTTCCTTTTTGATATCTTATACTTCGAATGCGTTCATAGACGTGGCGGAGATTCCATTTTCGCGGGAAAAAGTGACCTAAAATATCTCTAAAAGTAAACTGGTCCGTAAAAACGCCGTGACATAAGCCTAGTATGGGATTTGCTCGCCCCTGGTTATGGGTTCCTGCCGTACGTCAACCATCTCTTAAACGGATATCTCTGTAGCACGGACACTTACTGCCGGTCACAACGGCTTTGACGTACCCGAATTTGCTGATGCACAGCGTTTTGGGACAACATAAAAAAACCACAGAAGCCAAACATTGACCACCTGGTTTAAGCTTACTTCGTAAACTGACCTCACCTGCGGATGGTAGCGATACCATTACAAAAAATATATTGTTTTCTCGCTCCAAATGAGAAAGAGAAAAACCAGTTTAACTCTGCTACAGTCGAAAATTCATGTGTGATCAGCTCAAGTAAGTGACCTTCAAATTTTAGCGGTTTGGGCTGTCGCTTACGGCAGGTTTTTAAATTTCCAATTTCTTTTTATATTTCCCAGATTTTAGAGTTTTCCAAAGGTAACTCCAGTCACGTGATTGTAGTTAAAATCCTGTTCGATGCTCAAAGAAAGATTCGTCGCGCGTTTACAGTCCATATGAGCCCGGATTTTACTGGCCACAGTGAGCTGGGAAAGAAGAAAGTTATTGTGTACATCGAGCAGCCATCACGTAATCCCGCCGTCACTTTCCCACTCCCGCCAAGGGTCGTATCATTGCGTGACTATGATGATGTCAGTGGGGCAGAATCTGAAATGATTAAGGGCTATCCGCTGATATGTGTCACAGTAAGTAACCATAGTGACCACTTATACTTTTGTTGAGCCTATCGAGATAAGCGACTCTCTTAGGACAGCATTTTTGTGTGGCGCTTAATCCGAGGCGGCGCTTAATCGAAAAAATGCAGTATCCACTTTTCTGTTAAACACGCAACAAGGTGTTTTATCACATATCAAACATCAACAAAGGGAGTTGAAAGCATGCTACTTGGACGTTTCGGACTTTGTGGTGACTTACGAAACACTGTATCAAGTGTTTGATATCAAATCTTGAGGATTTTGAAGAACAAACTAAGAATAAAAACGAGGAGGTTTTTAATCACATGCTTAAATACGTTACGGACTATTATATGGTCATGGCATTTATAAGAATAATACTTTTGAGATGTTCTTGATCCACCCTCCGTAGTTACGGAATGTTCGTAAGTGTTGCTTGCTGTACCGCGTGTTTCCCTAAAAATAATTACTCAGCGTAGATTAATAACCACAATATTTTATTTCCTCACACAGGCCTGTGATCCTAAGTACCCCAGATACGCCGAGACTGGCTCAATTTGTTCTTCACAACGAATTAATAACAAGCTGACACAGTTCCGTTGGCAAATCGGCGAGGAACTAAGAGACTTAACAAGTGACACGTTTTTCGCTAAAACTGATCAAGTTACTTTAGATAGCATTTACTTGGTACCAGGCAGTCGGGTGCGATGTGTCGCGCGTGCCGTCAATGAGCGCGGTGAGCTAGGCCTAGAATCGAGAAGTGCTCAAGTGAACATCAGTAAGCAGAGGGGTCTATGCACACCGAGGGACTCTGATCAGGTGGGATCGCAGCAGATTGAAGCATCCATTTCCTTTACAGGAGCAACGGGAAATAAGTACTCCAACAAAGTCCATATTAAAGTTATTCTCCCTCATACGGACGGACTGATACCACTAATATCGACAACACGACTTGCAAATTTCAAGCGAATACTTCGTCCAGGCGTGCTAAGGATAGCGAAACACAAATGCTCCAATCTTTTAGACTTGAACGAAATCACCACAAGTCTTGGGTTTGTAGCAGATTCTTTTAAAGACCAGAAAGGTATGAATGAGGGTGAACCATATCAGTTTAGCGAGGAGCTTAGGAACAACAGCACTTTACGCTTCTACAGAAATCTCGACCTCGAGTCTTGCTTGTGGACCTTTAACAGCTACTACGACATTTCAGAGCTCACTCAGTTTTGTGGCGCTACAGTGACATCAGACGAACAGTCGAGTGATATTGCCCAATCACAGCTCACCGTGCGCGTACCTTTGTATGTTTCGTTCGTGCATCGCGTACCGAGGACGAGGGGAGACTGGGTTCACTACGATCATGCCATGTTTTTGCGGCTGCACCTCACGTACGACACCGCTGTACTGTTGAATAATGGCGTGCAGACTCCTGAGGGAGACTTGTTCTATGGAGAACTATGGCCTACTGCTATTTCTGTACGCGCAGATGATAAGCGACTGGTGGTCAATTTTAAAACCAAAACCAAGTTCCGAGGAATTTACTTGATCAAAAATCCAAGTATGTATTTCTGGCTTGCCATTACTTAATTTAGTGTAAAGCCCTGAAAGAAGGGACACCATAAAACGTTGGATATTTCTCGCTATTTCGATGTTAAAGATATCATAAAACGCGTTTGAAAGTAACGACTCAGTATCTAGGTGCGCTTGCCTCATGCATGCATAAAAGCGAAACTGATATTCTTTGCGACACCTGAGAAAATTCTCTTTTCTTGACCCATCAAATCTGAAAACAACATCTCTCCTTTTAAAAGGTTTCTTTGTATTCGTGTTTTTAGGCACTGAAGTGACTGCGCAGGTCATATCACGTGAGCGGCCACACCTCAGTTTTAGATTAAACCTGTTGTCAAGTGAACAAACCTACAACTACCCACAGCAGAGCTGGCAGTTTCAATCCCAGTATGCACTGCGAGATTATACTGGAGTATATTTCATCAAACTGATTCCTTGCACAGCGGACGAGGTTGGTGTAAAATGAGTGTTCTCATGAGTTTAATTTTTATTAGTGACTCTTCCTATATTTCATCATATTACGTTTTGGTTGCCAAGGGTTCAGTTGAATTCTTGCACGTACCTTATGTTGTATTTCATTGAACTAGAGCTCCAGAAATACAATAGACTTTTTTTTCTGTGCTTACTTTGTGAATAGGCCAGGTTAGATTTCTCTAATCTGTTTAACTAAATGGTCTTGAGGCTAAAGGCTTAAAACAAGNAGCTACTACGACATTTCAGAGCTCACTCAGTTTTGTGGCGCTACAGTGACATCAGACGAACAGTCGAGTGATATTGCCCAATCACAGCTCACCGTGCGCGTACCTTTGTATGTTTCGTTCGTGCATCGCGTACCGAGGACGAGGGGAGACTGGGTTCACTACGATCATGCCATGTTTTTGCGGCTGCACCTCACGTACGACACCGCTGTACTGTTGAATAATGGCGTGCAGACTCCTGAGGGAGACTTGTTCTATGGAGAACTATGGCCTACTGCTATTTCTGTACGCGCAGATGATAAGCGACTGGTGGTCAATTTTAAAACCAAAACCAAGTTCCGAGGAATTTACTTGATCAAAAATCCAAGTATGTATTTCTGGCTTGCCATTACTTAATTTAGTGTAAAGCCCTGAAAGAAGGGACACCATAAAACGTTGGATATTTCTCGCTATTTCGATGTTAAAGATATCATAAAACGCGTTTGAAAGTAACGACTCAGTATCTAGGTGCGCTTGCCTCATGCATGCATAAAAGCGAAACTGATATTCTTTGCGACACCTGAGAAAATTCTCTTTTCTTGACCCATCAAATCTGAAAACAACATCTCTCCTTTTAAAAGGTTTCTTTGTATTCGTGTTTTTAGGCACTGAAGTGACTGCGCAGGTCATATCACGTGAGCGGCCACACCTCAGTTTTAGATTAAACCTGTTGTCAAGTGAACAAACCTACAACTACCCACAGCAGAGCTGGCAGTTTCAATCCCAGTATGCACTGCGAGATTATACTGGAGTATATTTCATCAAACTGATTCCTTGCACAGCGGACGAGGTTGGTGTAAAATGAGTGTTCTCATGAGTTTAATTTTTATTAGTGACTCTTCCTATATTTCATCATATTACGTTTTGGTTGCCAAGGGTTCAGTTGAATTCTTGCACGTACCTTATGTTGTATTTCATTGAACTAGAGCTCCAGAAATACAATAGACTTTTTTTTCTGTGCTTACTTTGTGAATAGGCCAGGTTAGATTTCTCTAATCTGTTTAACTAAATGGTCTTGAGGCTAAAGGCTTAAAACAAGCTATAGATCAGCCAAAATTTGGCGGCGAGATTACTGAATATTACCATCGACCATCTGAAATCCACGTGGGCGTCGTATTTAATGTCAGGAATGGATACCGCTTACGAAAGATTCTTCATACAGTTTTTTTTACTGGCCATTGTGTCAAACGATATTCTAGATGGCGAAACTAAACGAAGAACTGAGCTAAGTTTCTGCAGAGCATTGAAGTCGGTGATATTTAGCATTTTTATTGACTTTTTACCTCCACTTAGGGAGCACTCTACTCAGAGCCACTCACGTGTCATCCACATGATCCGGTGACTTTCACTTTGCCAATCAGATTCCAGCAAGTCCCCGATCCAGTTCCCGCGAAATTCACTCTGTCCGCCAAGTTCTTTCTGATGTCGCAAAAAGATCAGTGGCTGGACCGTGTTAAAATGGGCGATTTTAAAGTAGATGCTGCATTTTCTAAAGGTAAGGTATTCGAGATGACCTGCGGTTTTCTAATACAACTGGTATTCTGCCCAAAAAAAAAAAAACTATCTGGTTTGTTGGTGTTGAAGTAGAGCAAGAGACGAGTACACCCCCTCCTAAAGAAATCCTGGATCCTCCCCTGAACGGGCAACAAAAACCTGCAACTTGTCTTACAACATTGCTGCAAAACGAGTCGAATAGATACGTCTCTCGTTTAACCAACCACAACAAACCTGACTTGCAACAAATCTGGGCTGAGTTGCTCAAAGTATGGTTAGCTTTAACCATTGGTTAAGCAGTATCAAAACCAATACTTTGTCAAGGTATTAAACGCTGGTTAACGCCAACCATGCTCCGAGCAACTGGGCCCTGGGTTGTTAACAGGTTTCAACAAGGGTTGTAAAACGCAGCAATGTGGCAAAACGAGTTGCACGTTTATGTTGCCTGATTTAACGAATCTTAAGACTATCATATCGAAAAAATATGTAAATGTTAGGTTGGCGTGTCGCCTCTATTCTTTTGCCTCTTTAAATTTGTTTTTCAAAATTTTCCCTCCTCATATCATTTCTGTTGATTCAAGTTAAGTTTCATTTAGTGAACTGTTTTAAAATGCTACACGATCAAACCTGGTTTTCTTTCTTTCGTCAAGAGATGCAGTATATGTAGCATTTGATGTAAGGAAGAAGGCTTGGCCGAGTTGGGTACAGACTAGGCTCTTCATTCCTTGTTATGTTGTGCTATTCTTACTACTGTATTCACATTTACAGGCTCAAAAATCTACGGGCGCATCAGTTTAAATGAGGCAAGTGGACTAGGGAGGAGAGGGAAGGGATATGCCTTGGCAACAGAGAAGGTTTATTTGTGCACTGGTGTCGGGGAGTACATACCCTCTTACGATCCATTGAAGAACAAGTTTGGCTGCATGGCGAAGTCGCTGTATTTGGAACATCAACTCAAAGTCCT